AGTTTTATATAGGCATGATTTATATTGATGATGATATTCACATTGATTTATCATTTTTTTTAAATGATTCTTTGATGAGTCTTTAATAATTTCAACCCGTTTCCTGGGCACGCAGCTTCCTCCTTCAGTCTTGAAAGCGACCCTTCATTTGACCACCCTTGATCTTTGTCGCATGACTTGCATTCCCACGGACATTCAAATGCATCTATCCTCAAAATATATAGTTTTTTTTTTCCTTTTAAAGAAACAACCATAAAAAAAATGAAACAACATAAAATATGAAACGTCTAGCAATACTTTTGTGTGATAAATTAATTTGTGTGTATTAAATTAAATAAATATACCGCGCATCAACATAAGCATAATGGAGGAGATCTCACTGTGTCCGATACCTGATGCAAGGAAATTTATATGTGTGAAATTAATGTGTTGTAACGTAACATAGAGTAGTATAGTTTAATGATGAAAAATCGCAGTGGTGTTACTTTAAAAGATGGTATTAAATGAAGTGAGATATTGTTGAAATAATATTAGTATATATAGAAATTAAAAGCTTAGGAAACAATATATTTGAAAAGAGTAGGAATTATTTTTTTGGGGGGGGGGGTATATATTAGAGGGAGCATTAATTAATTAATAATGGAAGGGGGTGAGTTGGTGGAGCAGTGGGCTTGCATGTCGTCGGCTCATTTTCATGCTTGCTTTCCCTGCTCCTTCCCATCTTTGCCTTCCTGTCTGCTCCTTCTGAACCCGGCCGCTTCTGTACCTCCCCTTTCTTTTTTTTTTCTTTTTTTTTTTTGGTGAAATGATAATTTAACCAACTTTTCCCCTCCTCCTCTCAATCAAATAAATTTACCCATTGGATTATAACATGAATGAAAGATACTCCACATATACATATGGACACGTAGGAAGTTGGATTGGTCCCCATCTCTTCATATATCGCATGTTGAACTCAACCTCCAAATCTCTAATTCTATGCCCATATTTTGTTTTTCTTATTCTTAACATCTTCATTTTACGTGTGAAAACAAAGAAGAAGAACCTAATTTTCCCTCTAAAAGGAATTGGTTCGACTGCTCATCATTATGGTGAGAACTGTACTTTTTAAATACAATTTCAGTGGTCCTTGTGTAAGATTTTAATTTCAACTCACAATTTTTAAATAAACAAAATAACCATCCAGATTAAGAATAAAACGATGAATTTCTTATTTGGGTATTAAAATGATTTTCCCCAGAATTATTTTATTTTATTCTTTATACTCCATACCAGTTAAAACTACTTCCGATCCTTAATATAAGATCTCGTTTGATTTTTATTTTGGTCCTAGATATAAGATCCCAATCCATTTTGTCTATCATATTTATTTATTTATTTCCAATATAATCCTTTTAATAATAGTAGTTTAAGCCACACATTTGATTAGTAAGGATATTTTAGAAAGACACTAGTTATTTATGACAAATAACTAACTTAACTTATTTTTCTTAATCTTTTAAAATTAGTCAACTAGCTCTTATACTTAGGAACGAAGGTAGTATTATGATTTGATAATAAAAACGAGATTTAGTAACAGATTTTTGTTTTGGACAGAAGATTTAACAACAGATGTCATAATAAAAAAATATAAATGGAGGGGAACCGAATAGATTTATAAAAGAACTCAAAAATCAAATGTAAAACCTAACTCAAGTTCAACCCCAAACAAACCTTCAACTAAGGTTTTCTTTTGGTCCTTGAAATAAGGAGGGATTGCGGAAACAGGGTTGTGCCGAGTCACGATACAACTGGCTTGGGCCGGCGGGGAGGTTGAAGAAGATGAGAAGTAACCGATAAAAGTGGTTACAGAGAGAGCAACGTGTTTGCTCGTGAGATGTAACGTTGAAGAGCTAGCAAACCTGTGTGATCTGTTTTGTAAAATTTGTATGGTTGTGGCCTCCAGTTGGGTCTCACGGGAATCCCAGCCTCCCTCCATCCCCTCCTCTCTCACGTGTTCCCTCCCTTCTCTCTTGACTCTTCCTTCTTGTTTTCAGCCACTGATCCTGCAATTTTACGGCGCTCCCACGTTTCTCATCACCCCCCTTCGTCGGTGCTCTAATCTCCCACCCCAACCCCAACCCCAAATTATTACACTTTTTTTTTTGTTGTCTTAATCTCTAAACTTTATAAGAATCGGCCAAGAGAACAAGATGGCCTTTCTCCGGGTATTGTTTTGACCTCTGTTGTATCAGTATATATGATGCATGGTAATAATCTCTCACAGTAAATCTGTTTTTCTGATCTTACACGTTATACATACAAGCTAAGCCCCTTAAAGGTTTTCCATCAGCTAAGCCGAAACAAGACAAACAATGTTTGAATGGTTCATCATGACCGTTAAAGTGGCCTGCTGTTATAAAATGAGGTATATATCCTTGCAGTTATAAGGGGTCTTCACCATATTGTACTTTCTTCTATACTGTCAGACTCAAATATAGACACAAAAGGTCAGGAAGAAAGACAGAGAGATAGATTGAGATGAGGTAAATATATATATATATATATATATATATATATATTCTTCGGAGGTGTGTTGGGTTAGGTCAATTTCATATCATCTCTGATCTCTCTCAGACCTCTCCAACTGTATTATGCTAACTTGCATGAATGATTGACCACTTAACGAAACTTATAATCTTGGTATATGAGCTTCCTCAATAATTATTCACCTTCTTATTGTTCTAGCTGAGCAACCCCACTTTGCAAAGAAAGGACTTGTACTCTCTCTCTCTCCCAAACTGATGCTTCAATTACTTAACTAAGTGACAAAGTAAAAAAAGGGGTCTGTGATAGATAGGGGCCATACATGGCCATATAATAATGGAGCACAGCGCCCAAAATGCACCACCAACAGTTCACTGCAATTAACAAAGAGTTAATGATATGAGATTAGGTAGTAGAGTGAATATAACACGTGAGAGATTTCATATATATGGGGTGTGTATATGTTCAAAATGCACAGAAGCAGGTAAAGATGAATGTGAAGTACGTACATGTTATATAATATATGTATATATATCAGTATGATTCTGTGAAGCATTGGATTCAAAAGGGACGTATCAAGGAAAGAAAGAGACAAGGTGTTGGCAGTGACAGAGAGAGGAGGCAGTGCTGTGTGTGGTGTACTGCCTGCTGTTCCCTTTACTGACTCACAACATCTTCGCTTACTAACCTCTCTCTGATGGCCCTACAACTATATACGTACTATCCTCTCTATCATTTTCTTGCTCTCCTTCTGCTTGCAGCCTATATTCTTTTGTAAATGTTTACTTGTACCGTGCCATTTAGGACATATCACAACCCTTAGCTTTCATCTTTATATCTTTATGTATTATTCACTTGCCTCCTACTGCGCCCCTCTTATTATTATCCTGCAAATTACAAATGCAGGGTGGCTCTGGACTCTACTGCACACTACCTACTTCACAGCCAACATGCATGGGTTTTCAATAGTTTTAAGTAATTAAATTATGCTATTTCTCATGAATAGTATATGGAGTATATTTTTGTTTACATTTCGATCCCGTTTGAAAATGAGGAATATGAATTATAACTGTAATTTTAAAAAATCATTAAAAAAGTATTTAGCATGAGTAATTATTATTTGTTACGTGGGATTAAGCAAACCCATGGAAGCAGGATTGGGGAATACCACCTCCTCTAATGATATTTCCCAATCCTACATATATAGATTTGTCTAATCCCATATAATAGGCAATCTCTTATGCTAAATATTTTTTTCTCGATTTTAATTCCAATTCCTATCTCTTATTTTAATACTTCATACCAAACAGTACCTCACTATTCACTATTGAAAGAACTTCTCTTATTGTTTGGTTTCTTACATGTACTTTGACTTTGACTTTAAAAGTTTTTTTCTTGTACTGATAATCAAAATGGTTAAGATGACATTAAAATCAACCTGTGAGATTTTACTTCTATCCTTTCTTCTTTAAGATTATCCCGTGTTCAATATTATTGATTAGTTTGTATTCGAAACATGTTGGGTTATATTTCGAATGAAAGGAATAACTTCATAGAGTTTTTAAATCCATAAATTTTAAACTCAAGACTTTTTTTGAAACTCGATCGATTTCGCCTATACTTAGCTAGGAATATACGGAAATAAAAGCAAATAATTTAGTAACTATATTTGATGGAAAGTAAATTAAAGAAATATATCTAGTGTACGTTAAATCTTAATTAATCAATTGATAGTACGTGATTTCAAAATAATCACATTATGAATACGTTTTATATTGTGCACCTTATCAACCTTAAGAAAAGGGACAATTGAATAAAGTCCGCTGATTTGACTGAGGCCATGCAAGTGAGGAAAAGCAAACATGGTGAAACTTCACCTTTTATTTTTTATTTTTTGGCGGATGAAAAAGAGAAAAGATAAACCAGTAGGAGCTAGTGGAGAATTTCCTATTTATATACAGACATAAGTGTCAACATCCACGAATTTACTTACATAAACTTCCAAGGGCAAAAAAAACAAAGCCTGCATAGTGACGAAAAAGTTTGTTGAACATACCCCCAGCTGATGAGAAAAGAAAGATGGGATTCCTAATTACGTAATCTAATCTATATCTCAGTTTAACAGTAGTACGTCCTCCATGACTGACTTAATTATAATTGTCCTTCATCAAGCTCCAATGCTCATCTCCCATCATTATCAACCCCTTTTTTCCCACACAAAAAAAAAAGAAGTAAAAATAAAAACCATGCTCTCTGTCTAATAGTTTTGTTGGAGTAGTAGCCGTGGATGGATCTAGATTCTTTATACTGCCATAACAGTGTTGGATCACTTGCCTTTTTTTTTTTTTTTTAATGTTCCATCATCCTCTCTCTCTAGTCTTATATAAAACCCACTCCTCTCTCTTTCTCTTTCCACTCTCCATAATTTCTCCATACAGCCTTCTTTATTCCACTAGATCTGAAAAGGGCTGGAACCCCCACTTCTTATATATCATTTTTCATAGTTCTCAATCACCCTCCTTGATGAATCTCACAGGCTCTCTTCTAGACATGACCGTCTCTTCCCTCCTTCATGCATGAAATCATTCAATTCATGAGTATCTTTGCCTCTGCAAAAGGAAACTGATATATATCAAAGTCTCGAACTTTACCATCTGGCTCCCCCCCCCATCTCACTCTCTCTCTATGATGTCACAGGAAAATAATTCTCCTTCAAAGGAGGCAGCAGCGAAAGAAGATGGTAGCCCAAGCTCCGGCGGCCGGAAAAACGCATCTGCGAGGCCACCAGAGCAAGGTCTCAAGTGTCCGAGGTGTGACTCGCCCAACACCAAATTCTGTTACTACAACAATTACAGTCTGACGCAGCCAAGGCACTTCTGCAAGACATGCCGCAGGTACTGGACCAAGGGTGGAGCCCTACGCAACGTTCCGATTGGTGGAGGCTGCAGGAAGAACAAGAAGGTGAAGTCGTCGTCTTCACGGCTCTCCGGCGACCCCAAGGACCCCGGATTCCCGGGGGAACTTAGTGGCTTCAAGTTTTTCCATGGCCTTTCACCCTCACTGGATTTTCATCTTGGAGGGTCCCTACCCTTACCTAAACTCAATCATCTTCAACCTCCAACCATATATAACCCAGTCTCTTCCTTTGGGGATGTCCAAGCAGCCACCTTTGATCCGTCTGGAAGCTCAAATTCTATGATTAGTTTCAATTACCCAACAACCGGAGGAGGATTCAGCAGTGTAATCCAGGGTATGAGCTCTATGAACGTTAACTGTAACCTTGCTTCTTCAATTGAATCATTGAGTTCTGTTAATCAAGACTTGCACTGGAAGCTACAGCAGCAGAGGTTAGCGATGCTGTTTGGCGGTGACGATAATGGCCAGAAAGACGATGGTGTTTCAGCGGTTACTCTTGAGAACCAAATCCAGAGACCGCAACCCATTTTGTTTCAGAATCTTGAGATTTCAAAGCCTGAGATTAATTGCGTGGCTGCTGGTAATTCCAGAAAAGAAGGCCTAGCCACTGGTGATACCCCTACGGAGTGGTTCTTTGGGAATTCTTTTGCTTCTGTGACTCCTACGCCCCCAAGCACCAGCAGCGGTGGGAATAATGGCTATGATAATGCAGCCAATAACTGGAGTTCTGTTCATGCTTGGGGTGATGTGCAGCAGCAATATAATGCTATGCCCTAGCTAGGGGAGGTCGAAGGAATAGCCAAATTTATTTCTCTATAATTATCAAAATTATCAAAAGGTACTCCTTTTAGGAATATGCTAGTACATGCAATCTTTCATCTTTTATGTTGGTTCAAATGAACATATATATGTAACAGATGGTTACTCATGAACTTCGGCTAGTTAGATGTTTAATCAATTGCATAAATTCCCAGTATTGAATGGCTTCCTTCAAATCAATGAATATATATGCCCTCAGGTACTGTAGAAAATGGGTTGACTTCAGATTGTTTATAAATGTTGATGATGAGTCAGGATCTGATGAGCTGGGGTAATTTTAATTTGTCTGTATTCTCTCTACTGCAATTAATCGCAGGCTTCATTACTGGTATAAGTCGTAAGTGGTAAGTTGAAAGGGATTGGTGAAAATCTTAGCCATCTCTTTCAATACAACTTTGGGATCTGTGATGGGGTTTCAGGAGAGAGTTCGTTGTTATCTGGGATGAGAAAACTTTTTCAACGCCGATATCTTTGATTTGTTTTATGTTCAGTTGATATCCGCAAGTCATAGATAGATACATAGGCACTAGTGTCACCAGACTCATCAGCGTGTCGTTCTGTGATCTATCAGAACACTGAGCCTCAGGCTCCTAAGGTACTGATCGATGCAATGCGCAAAACACACACCACTGGGCGTAGCTTTCGCTGTTTGGCCTCTCCTTAGCCCTGCACTATCAAGGCCTAGCAGCCCTACATTATAGACCTTCTCTCTCTCTCTCTCTCTCTGATGGTAAGGCCATGAGGCCCTCTTCGTAATAATTAGTTGCAGTGAGGTGTGATTTGGTGGTGTCTGAAAAAGTGGTAGTTTGAAAATGAATTGAATGAAACACTGTCAACATTTGAATGAGAGAGAGAGAGAGAGTGACATGGCATCTAAAGCTCACTTGGGGTTCGATTTTTGTGCAGCCAAAAAATATGTTGCGTTTAGCTTTCTGGAGTGTTGGAGAGTGAGCCCTCACATCCGTGCTAATTTCCCACTGAGCATCATCCACTCGTTGCATTTCTGCGTAATGTACAGTGATAGAGAGAGAGAGAGAGGGTTTACTTTTCCTTGCTTTGCTTTGCGTTTGTTATCTTATATTATTCCTCACTTTCACTATTGGTAAGAACGACACTGACCCCGCAATCATGAAATGATTAGCATCAAACTCATAATTGATTTGACTAGCCTAAAGAAAGGATTATATATAATGAGAATAGGGCTACATACAAAAAGTGAAAAAGTTAATTTGCAATCTTGCGTAATGTATACTTAACTCGTCTCATTACATATTGCCAAATAATGTAAAAAGTTCTGTTCAACAATTAAGAACACATTCTACAAAAGCAACGAAAAGCTGCGAGGCTGTTCTTTTTGAATTCTCTATGCATGTTATGTTATAAATAGCAGCAGCATTCTTTGGTTCATATTCACTCAAGTAGAAAATTAAAGGCCAGCTTTGCTTGCGAACACTTTGCCTCATCAAAACAAGCTTTTAGAGGCTCTAGCTAGCTTTATACTACTCTAAGAAAAACTTTATACATTAAGCCACATTTTCTGCTTTCCCCCTCTTGCTTCTGTACGTGCAAAACCCTGCCTTTTTCTTATATATAAAGAAAGCTCTCTGCTTTCCATCGATCTAAAACATCACGTACACGAACCTGTGAATAGAATCACTATGTAGTAAAACTTCTGTGCAATATTGATAAAGTTAACCAGTTTCTTTTGGGTTTTTAAGAGGCTGTGTGAGGATAAGTTAATATTGAGGGATATAGGATTACGAAGAAGATGAGGCTGCGTGATGAACGTGAAAGCTAAGGGATCAGTGTGAAAGAGAAACTTGTCTTTTAGTTGAGGAAGTGTGGTTGTGTGGTATTGTGGCTGCTGAACTGTCATTTTGCGACTAACGTTATGAAGCGAGAAGCTCATGACATTTTGAGACTCCCTCGATTCTCTACTTCTCATCATTCCCATCTTATCCTGCACCGAAACCTCTGGCCCCACCAGGCCACCATCTTCTTCACCACTCGATAGCTTCATCCACTACCCACCTGTAAGTAATCATATATGTGAAACACCAACATATTTATAAAGCCCCTCATTTCAAACTTTCATCATCATCATCATCTGTTCATATATATTTTAAATGCACGCAGTTTTGGTGCTCACTATATAAAGAACATTACTTGTTAATTATTCCTATCCATTTCTTTTTTTGGTTTAAGTTATATATAACCGATCTCTTGATTCAATTTATCGGTCTCATTTCCAAAGAAAAATGTGATTAATATATATTGTGATGAATGGGACAACTTGATCAAGTTATATATATGTAAAACACTGGATAAACTTTACATACGAGCTCAAAATTATATTTATTTTACTTCTGAGTAATGCTTAGTGTAAGGATCTAAATATTGAAAATTTTATATTGGAGTACCTTGAAACCTGTAATCGTTTCCAGAGGCTAGGATTGTTAAGAAACTTAATTATTTCTAAATTCCAATAAGTTATACTACCTCTAGTACTTAATATAAGAGCTCGTTAGATTTTTATTTTAGTCCTAAATATAAGACCACAATTTACTTTATTTTTAGTATTTATATATTTTTTTCAAAATATTTCTTGTAATAATAGTAGTTCTGGCCAATTTACTTGATTAATAAGGATATTTTAGGAAAGACAATACCTATTTATTACAAATAACTAACTTAACTAATTTTTTTAATCTATTCAAATTAATCAACTAGCTCTTGTATTAAAGAATGGAGGTAATAATTCTTAAACGTCAATATAACTTTATGTAACAATCAATCTCTTAAAAGATGGAATAATTTAGATATTTAATATATAATTATATTGTTCAAAATTTTAAAATGTATAGTCTTTTGATGAAATCTAAACACGTAATATGTTAAGAGAAGGGGGCGGCAGGATTCATTATCAGGTAATGCATGTCCAAATTTGCGCTGTCTTTTCTTGTCGTGAATTTGGTTTTTAATGATTTGCCTTGGCTTTAATTTCGTGTTTGGACCATCGTCAATGTAAAAAATTATCTCTGAGATGAGGTTCCGCCCGTATGTGAATATATGAATGTAAGTATTTTTCATTGGGTAAAAAATAGCAAACAAAAAAAAAATCATTTTTAGCAGCTTAATATAAGCATGTTTAAATAAAACTCGTTTTACATATTTTCATCGTATTCTATAATTTATGATTAAAATATTGCCTTTAAAGACTCTAATCGTTATTCCTTTAATCTTCTTAAAAATGCATGTTTCGATCCCTCACGGAAGCTGCGGGGCGATATTGAAGCCGTTGACCCCCGTAGCTCGGCCACACGTTGAGGCCTTTATGGGCCTGACAGTGGCCCATTCCCTACATCCTACCAGCCCAATATGTGTTTCATATTAGCCCAACAAACTAGCAAAACTACGGGGGAGAAAAACTGCTGCCACTGGAGCAACCTTCAAAATCATCTCAGCAGCTCTAGGCGGGACGTTCCAAATCTGCTTCTTGTATGATTTTGCCCCATGCTCAGAGCAGTGAGCATATCTGCATATCGGTTGGTTTCTCTGTGCACATGTGTGACATAAACTTGCCGATCTCTCTCCATTAATTCAACTCCCAATTTCTTGAACCCCAGCTCCCAGCGTGACAGTAATCCTTCGTAAATATTCTAAGGTCCTGTTTGTTGCGAGGCATTGAAAATGTAGGATTGAGATTATGATTACAATTAAAAAAATCATTAAAATAATACTATCTCCGGTCTTAATTATGAGAGCTAATTGACTAATTTGAGGATATTAAGGAAATAAGTTAAATTAGTTATTTGTAATAAATATATGTTGTCTTTTCTAAAATATTCTTACTAATTAAGTGTATTGGCTATAACTACCATTGTTAGGAATACTATCTTGAAAAAAAAATATAAATATAAGAGAAAAAGCGGATTGGGGTCTTATATTTAGGACCAAAATAAAAGTCAAACGAGGTCTTATATTAAGGACCAGAGGTAGTATTTAGCATGAGTAGTTGCTTATTACTCCTCTGGTCCTATTTATAAGGCACTTCCAGTATGTTTTACACAGACCAAGAAAAATCTTAAACTTCATTAACTCTCATTTAAAATTTAATGACTTTTCAACTTTATTCCTATTTAATGTATATTATACTTCATATAAACAAAGTCAACACAATAATAAATAAGGGGTAAAATTGTACATCTATACAAAAAATTTCTCTCAGTGTCCTATAAATAGGGCCAGAAAATACCTTCTCTCTCTGCCCTATAAATAGGACTAGAGGAGTACATGGGATCAGGCAAACCCGTAGAGGTGGGATTAGAAAACCATTTCCCCTCATAGTATTCTCCAATCCCACATATATGAGTTTGGCTAATCCTATATAACAAACAATCTCGTATACTAAACACTCTTTTAATATATTTTCTCAGTTGCAATCACAATCCCAATTCCTCTTTTTCAATCATTCCCATCAAACATAGGGCAGCCTACTTTGGCACGAAGTGGGCCAGAGGAAGAGCGAAGGGGGATTGTGGATGACAATATTGTAGACTCTTTTCTTGAGAGCCTACCAGATAAAGTTCCAGATTCAATGGAGTTTGAGGAAAATAAACCCCCAGACCCAAATGAAGTCAAAGAATACATGGGACTATCAGATGTGGAAAATTTGATTAGGCCCCGTGAAGAATTGAGAGAGTCTGCAATGGAGGGAATCGAGGAGGAATGCCAGGCTGCTCATGAGAATTGATCTATAAGCCTTGGCTTTTACTGATTAGTTTAATGATTATTGTCTGGAATGTAAGAGGGGCAGCCGGAAAAGCTTTCGGTCTTGCCTTAAAAGATATGAAGAGGAGGTATAGACCAAAAATAGTGGTTTTGTTGGAAACTAGATGTCAGGGTGAAAGTGCGAGGAAGACAATTAACCGAATTGGGTTTGCTCATCAGGAAATCATTGAACCCCAAGGTATGTCTGGGGGGATTTGGCTGTTATGGGATGACGAGGATGTGGGTTTTCAAGTGGTACAGAGTCACAAGCAATTTATGCACTGTACTCTCACCGGAGTAGGAAGCATTTCTTGGGCCTTCACAGCAGTATATGCCAGC